CAGTGTGCATGACTACACATACACACACCACAGTGTGCATGACTACATACACACACACACACACACCACAGTATGCATGACTACACACACAAACACACACCACAGTGTGCATGACTGCAGACACACATACCAGTGTGTATGACTACAGACACACACACAGTGTGCATGACTACACACACACACACACACCACAGTATGCATGACCACACACACACACTACAGTGTGCATGACTACACACACACACCACAGTGTGCATGACTACATACACACACACAAACACACACCACAGTGTGCATGACTGCAGACACACATACCAGAGTGTATGACTACAGACACACACACAGTGTGCATGACTACACACACACACACACACCACAGTATGCATGACCACACACACACACACACACACACACAGTGTGCATGACTACACACACACACAAATAAATTTTAGAGTGATCATACATCCTCTGCCCCACAACCACGAAGAGCCCCAGTTGTTTATGCCCCTATCAGTTCCCAGCCTGATTTATCATATAAAACATTTTTAAAAAATCAAGTCTTCAGATTGTTCCTTGGGCACCGGAGGAAAGGGTGCCTGAACTGGCCTTGTCCCATAGCCACATTGATGAATATCTTACACATCACCATAGAACCTTCATCTGGTGATGGATAGAGATAGAGACAAAGACCCACATTGGAGCACTGGACTGAGCTCCCAAGGTCCAAATGAGGAGCAGAAGGAGGGAGAACATGAGCAAGGAAGTCAGGACCCCGAGTGATGCATCCACCCACTGAGATGGTGGGACTGATATAATGGGAGCTTACCAAGGCTAGCTGGACTGGGAGTGATGGAGCATGTGATCAAACTGGACACTCTGAATGTGGCTGGCAATGAAGGCTGACTGAGAAGTCAAGGACAATGGCATTGGGTTTTGATTCTACTGCATGGACTGACTTAGAGGGAGCCTGGTTTGTTTAGATGCTCACCTTTATAGACCTGGATGGAGGGGGGAGGACCTTGGACTTCCCACAGGGCAGGGAACCCTGACTGCTCTTAAGACTAGAGAGGAAGGGGGAGGTGGGGAGGGGGAGGGAAAAGGGAGGCGGGGAGGAGGTGGAAATTTTTAATAAATAAATAAATAAGTAAATTTTAAAAAATCAAGTCTTCTAAGGAATGTTTGGGAGCCATCCTGGAGTTAAATTAAATTAGAAACAAGTAGAATTCAATGTTGGAGGAGAAGTTCGGTGTTGGAGGAAAAGCCACATGTTGGTTCCCAGCCACTCAGCTAGCTTAGACCTGAGATAATCACACAGAAACTGTATTAATTAAATTACTGCTTGACCCATTAGCTCTAGCTAATAAGGTTAACTCTTACCTATTAATTTAACCCATTTCTATTAATCTGTGTATCACCATGTAGCTGTGGCTTACCAGCTAAAGTTCCCAGCGTCTGTCTCAGGCAGTGGGTCCACGGTTTCTCTCTGACTCTGCCCTTCTTTCTCCCAGCATTCAGCTTAGTCTTCCCTGCATATCTAAGTTCTGCCCTATCAACAGGCCCAAAGCAGCTTCTTTATTCATTAACCAATAAAAGCAACACATAGACAGAAGGATCTCCCACACCATTTCCCTCTTTCTGTTTAAATAAAAAAGGAAGGTTTTAATTTTAACATAGTAAAATTCTATATAACAAAACAGGTATCAAGCAAGAATTATAGTTGCAATATTTATATCTACTTTATCTTTTTTCATAACTAAGGAAAATTATAACTATAAATTCTTCAACTCCATCAAAGACTCCTGAAGGATATAATATTATAAACAGGAAGTGCATTGCAAGCAACTTCCAAAACTCTAGAATTGACAGAGACATCTCGCTACCTGGATGGTCACTCAAAGTTCTTCTGTACTATTGGGGCATCCATCTTCAGCCTACAGGCCCATAGTATCCAGGATACTTTTTCACAAAGCAGGAAATTTCAGACAGTTCCACCTATATTAGCAGTTTGTCAGTCATCTGTGTCCTGCAGAATGTCTGGCAGACTCTTTCATGAAGCAGGAACCCTGAAGGATCGTCTCACCTTTAGGCAAGTTCAGTAGTCATTTCTCTGTGGGTCCTGCATGTCCAGTTAGGCAGTCCATGCAGGAGCAGTTTCTTGCCCAAATTGCTAACAACTCCATAAGGAGCCTCTTTGATGCCCATCTTCCTCCTGAAGCAGCTTGTGCTGCCAGGAGCAGATGTGTCGCATTGTTATGAGAAGTCCTAAGTCATTAAAACATTTTAAGTGTCATATTCTGAAAGTCTCTGAAAGATTCAAAGAATACCTATCTAACTGAAATATATCTCTATACATCTACAAAACCTAACTAACATGACTTACAAACTTGACTATTATAAATGACTTTCTATTGCATTACATTTTTAAATGAGCTGCACAAACACAATACCTTAATCAAGAGCAGAAATACATATAAATATAACAAAATTGACCTTAAATTTGTATCAATAAACCAAGATTCATACCAATGCAAATTATTCATATCCATATCATAACCCCTTTTAAATGTAAATAAACATTTATAAACAATATTTAGGAATATGGGCATAGTTTCTCCAAACTTCTTCCTGCTGTTTATTGGGCATAGTAATTTTGCGGGGTGATTACTGTGACCTTCGGGGGATCTTGTTCCATCAAACCACACAAGTATGGAAGCAATCCACAGGTTCTCATCCTCTGTGGAAACAAGAGAAGAACCTTTTTTCCAAAGCAACACATCCATAGACCCAAATTTGGAAGCCATGATACCTTTATAATACACATGCTGGTTTATCTTAGCAGCCCATACAATGAAATGTCTCGCTGTACTTAGCTCCTCACAGTCAAAAAATTCAAAGAAAGTACATAATATACATAAACCAGACTCTCTGTGTATAGTTCATCTTTACGTGGCTAATTTTTCTTTATTTCTTTTAATTTATGATACTCTGTTTCTTTAAAGACTTTAAAAAAATGATTTACTTCTT